TTTTTTGTGCTTAATCCCTTCACCTTTTTCACCCAGCCCCCCAGCCCCTCCCCTCTGACAGCTGTGAGTCTGTTTCTATTTTGTTTGTTAGTTTACTTTGTTCAACCTACAGCCACCATGTTGGTTACAACTGATTCCCCATCGCTCCCTGAGCGAGCCCATTTCTGCAGCAGTGTCCGCACACCCATGTGCCTCTGCCTGGGACGCCACCCGACCCCTCACCTCACCCAGGGCAGCTCAGCATCACCTCCTCACAGAGGCCCAGCTGCCCGCCAGCACCCCCCACTCTCTGCTGCCCCTGTTTTCCTCCCTGGAATTACTTTGTGCATTAATTTCTGCACACGCGTGGTCACTCGTTGCCCTGGAAGGCTCCTGAGGCCAGGATGGCCCCACTGCCTGCACATGGTGTGGACTGTTTGTTGCATAACCTACAGCCACGATGTTGGTTACAACTGATTCCCCATCGCTCCCTGAGCGAGCCCATTTCTGCAGCAGTGTCCACACGCCCTGGTGCCTCTGCCTGGGACGCCACCCAACCCCTCACCTCACCCAGTGCAGCTCAGCATCACCTCCTCACAGAGTCCCAGCTGCCGCCAGCACCCTCACTCTCTCTGCTGCCCCTGTTTTCCTCCCTGGAATTACTTTGTGCATTAATTTCTGCACACGCGTGGTCACTCGTTGCCCTGGAAGGCTCCTGAGGCCAGGATGGCCCCACTGTCAGCACACGGTGTGGACTGTTTGTTGCATAAACAAGTCAATTTCTGCATAGACTTTGGGCAAACCTTCTGCAAAGGGCAGATAGTGAGCATTTCGGGCTTTGCTGCCACAAGGCCTCTCCCATAACTGCTCAGCAGCTTGCACCTAAGCAGCCCTAGACGCAGGGACAGGGACGTGGCTGCGTCCAACAAAGCTTCTATTCACACACAGCAGCAGCCAGATCCTTCCCGCAGACTTCAGTTTGCAGAGTCCTGCTCTAATGCCTCCTGTGCGGAATACACGCTCAGCCTACATGACTGCCTCACGTCTCCACTAAGGGCATGAGACACAAATGGCTAAAAGGACACAGTTCTCGGAGCGAGCCAGGGTGCTCTGTGCACAATAATGGCCTGGAGGAACCCCAGGAGCCCACGGAGTCAAACCAGAACACCCTGCTTACAGAGGGGACCCGGCCTCGGAGCCAAGCTTGTTTATGTGGAGCCTCACACAGGAGAGCGCGTCCCGGGAAGAAGGTGCTGGGAACATGAGGAAGCAGGAGGAAGTCAACAGTCATGCTTCCGTGTTGCCAGGACGCCCACAGCCTGGGTATAAAGGCCGCCAGGGAAGGAGCCTGCAGACATCTCCGCCCTCACTCCCCCCCCAGCCAGCCCACAACATGTGCCACACCAGCTGCCACACAGGCGGCCAGGCTGGCTGCTGCTCACCCAGCTCTTGCCAGTCCTCCATCTGCCTGCCCATGAGCCGCAGGCCCACTGTGTGCACAGCCCCTTCCTGCCAGTCCTCCATGTGCCTCCTGTGAGCTGCAGGCCAGCTGTGTATATGCCTGTGAGCTGCCAGGCGCCCTGCTGGCCTGTGAGCTGCAAACCCATGGTGTTCATGGCTCCCTCCGGCCAGTCCTCCATGTGCCTGCCCATGAGCTGCAGGCCCGCCGTGTGTGTGGCCTCCTCCTGCCAGTCCTCTGGGAGCCTCCAGCCCTCCCGCCCCC